AGATGTGCTATTTAAAGGAAGAGTTCGCTTCATGGACATAAAGCTGAATGATTTTCTTACGCTGGAAATGGAAGGCAGAGGCGTTTTGCACGCCAATCGGAATGTCTTACTGAGGGATTTTTTCAGTGATCCCACGAGGTATATCCCTGATGCGGGAGTATTGGTCGAAGTACAGAAAAAAGGTTATTATCTGAGTTTGGAGAGCACTGTACGGGAGGAAATGGATTTGGAAGAAGGTATACGCAGGCTTCACGATAAGGGTGTGGACAATCTATTTGGGTGGTCAAGAGCTGCTGAGGGGGTAAAAGCAAGTGTTCGCGACAAAATCAAAAACTCATTGGATACAGCCTTTGAGGTGGCGAGGATCCTAACGACGACGAGTGCAGCGATGAAAATGGAGGGATGCTACGAGTCTGTGTACAATGCGAGGTGGAGCCATGTCGTGGAAGTTCCTGGCGGCGAGGGGACGGGAATGGAGGTGAAGGAGGGGGAACCACCGCAGTCATGGACGTACAAGGAAGATGGCAACACCCTTGAAAAGGATGACGGTGTGGAGCAATCCGGTGAAGCACCTCCCGTGCTGATGGTGCTCACCTCGGACAAGGGATGGCCGTACACGATGAATTTGCTGCATGGGGCTGGTAATGACTTGTTTGTTAACTGCGAGGTGGAGCGAGCGTGGCAGATCGTCAAGGGCGATCTAACTAAGTGGTTCAGCAATTTTGATTTGATTCTCAATCCTTCACCTTTGCCGCGTGTGTTGATTGGGACGGCCGGGATCGGGAAGTCGATGAATGCCGGCTCGTACCTCCTTTACCAGCTGCTGCACTACGATGTGGAAAAAATCCAGGTGGTTGTCCACTGTTTTGGAAGTGTGATGTACGTGTTTGACAAAACCGCCAAAACCGTGACAAAATACGTGGGTAATGAAATATCCATCGTTGTTTTGGGTGGTTTGTGGAAGAGTGGGATGAAAGGGTATATTATCTACGATGTGGCAAAGAAAGGAACACCGCCCGACACAGGTTTTGCGCCCTCCACCGGATGGGGCATGATTGTGGTGTCATCGCCAAAGTTAACCAACTATGATGAGTGGGAGAAGCAAGCAAAAGCGGCGCGAATCATCATGAATTGTCCCGACGAGATGGATGTGAAGGCGATGTGTACATGGATGAAGCGAGGTCCGGATAAAGATAAGCAAGCGGGATACTGGAAAGAGGTTAAAGAACGCATGAAGAATGTGGGGCCGATTCCACGCCACATCTTTGATGAGGATAAATATATTATTCGCTTGGGTGCCGTTAATGGTACTTTGCTAGCAATCAAAGATATTGATGTTGGAAAGTACTTTACCCCGGGAGGAGAAGAGAAAGAATGGTATTCCAAGGATCCGTCTCACAAACTTGTGAAGATTGTCCGGGCAAGAACAGATAAAGGTGCTGAGGTATTTCTGAACGCATCGATATGTTCTGAAGTCGGGCTTCGAATTGCAGACCGTTTGGCAAAGAAAATGGCTACGAAGGATATTTTGTTGCTAATATTGGGATCGCGTGGTGTTCTTGCTTCCAAATATGTGGAACAATTAGGTTTGCGCGCCTTCATGTATGGGGAGCTTGTCATTGCAATAGTAGAGGGACTCAATGAGCTGCCGCCACCATCGCCTTCCAAACCACAGGATTCAGTGCTGAAGTTAAACCATCAAGGGTACCCCACGCGCACCGTTGGATTAAAGGAACTGGAAGGCGGTGTCACGAGGATTCCGATGGAGTACGGGGTGCTGTACCTACCGGCGGTTGAAAACTTTCCGCTGGTGGACGGCTTTTTCTTTGTGGACTCAAATCCAATGACGGTGGTTGGGCTGCAGATGACTACGGCGAGTGCGCACCACACGATAACCAGCACCGTGAAGCAGTTCACTGAGCGCCTATCGGCATATTTTAATGATTGGGAGGAATTATCCCGAGACATGTCGTGGGAGATGATTTATATACAGCACGAAATCAGCAAAAAGATAACAAAATGGCAGAAATGTAATTACGTCAATCCCAAGAATAAAACCGACGCTGAAAAAAAAATTGTGGCGTTCTGGGACGGAAAGGTACATCAATACCAGTTTGTGTTAACACCTGATTTTGTAAATAAAATCACAGAAATGAGAATACAATAATCTTGGGGGAAGAGGGATAGGGAAGAAAGTTAGGGAAATAATTGGGGAGCAAAGTGCATTTCGTTCTGGTAAACATATTAGGAAGTGTTTTAGCGATTATTAATTTTTTTTTTTTTTTTGTGGCCACCGGGTTTATTCAGAGAGTTTCTTGTGCGGGAGAATCATTATGATCCACGGTGCCACAGCAATAAAATTCTTCCATTTTTTTTTTTTTCTTAAAGAATCCATTGCCATTAGAAGCTTCTGCGAAATATGAAGGCCGCAGAATTCTTTTGTATTTTCATGGGATTTTGTGAAAAGAATGCTTCTGAGGTTGACTGGCTGCCCAAATAAATTCATATCTCGCACAAACGAAGACATCTCTTCACAACTTTTTTCTCTTCTATCGCACTGTCTTTTGGGAGACCGCGATTGAGGGAGTCAGGGAGCCGACAGATGTAAGACGAAATTATTATTATTTTTTTATTTTTTAGGAGCTTGTGAAAAGAATGATCGCGGGAGAGCTGGCTAACTTAATTAATGTATGTGTATATCCTGATAAATGAATGCATTCTTTATGATACTTTCTACCGTATGAATCTTTTTGGGAAGAACGCGACTTTGTAGGGGCAGGGAGCCGATAGAGGCCGGATAATATTTGTTTTTATTTTGCCATCCCACCCACCCCCTTTTGATTCCCACCACGCGGCGGGGTCTTGTGGTTGGAGGACCCCAAAGTCTGCCACTTCGTAAGTTATAATATTTCAAATCCTGAGGACAGAGCACCATGCTGGTGGTCCACAGAATTCTATATATATTGAATGAGAATAAAACATTGAAGCAATTAACTAACGAACCTTTTTTCTTGAATTGTTTGGTTTCCATATATTTTCAGGATCCGTCCAGCTGCCCGGAAGATTATTCTTTTTTTTTTGTTGTGGTCCGACAACGGCGGGATCTACTCAGTGTTTTTTTCCCCCTTTTAAAGTGATCGTGGGCGCTCTCGGCATTGTGTGCCACGCCGATGGCGCCGGCTAATAAAAGAGAAAATGGAATGGGGACACGAAACCACGCCGAGTGTCCCAGTGGAATATAAATAATGTCTGGGCACCGGGGGTTTAAAAGACTATAACGAGTGCAACACATTTATTTATTTTTTATCTGCAGGCGAAACAAACACACCGATTTGGAGGCCACGCAGCAACGTGCAGTTTTTTTTTTTTTTTTGAGTGAATGCATAATGGAAGACGGATTTATCTTTTCTTACTTTCCAGCATATTTCCCGCGGTTCGCCACGGCGTGGGCAGCCGTGCAGTGTCGCGTTCTAGCAGTCATCCTGTTTGTTTTTTTCTGGCGCTCTGCTGTGGTTGTGTGTGCCCCTAAATGCCTTGCTTTTTTTTGTGACTGTGGGTAAGAACTTAACGACAATTACACGATATATGGGTATTGCAGTGTACTCCAGCGATGGGGTCCGTACCCTTTCGCGGTGCTGGGGCTTTGGTTGCATATAGGAACTCCGCAGCAGGGCATTGCTGCGAGCACGACGGAGACCAAGACGACTCCACCTCTCGAGAAGGTTCCACGCCATGCCCGGTGCGGGAAGGTGAGGCGGTCTGCCCGCAGACTGTCGGACAAAACTGCACGATCGTTTCGCAGCGGTCACTCCGTTGATATCACCCGTGGCGGTGACGTTCACAAGAACAATGGCCCGGGGAGGATGGCTACATCACTATTTGGCAGCTTAACATTGCAGGCCTCTCGTCCGTGAAAAATATTGCATTTGCGGCGCGATTGGAGCAGCGTCCACCTGACATTGTTCTTCTGCAGGAACTAAATAACCGTGGTGACGTGGCGACGAAATTATGTGGCCATAATGACTACCTTCACGCCTCACTGGGCGCGGTGGTGGCGTTGCCGTTCTGGTGCGCCACTCTCTGCCGTGCGAGCGCCTGTCGCTCCCTGGCACAGACCTCCTGGGGACCATTGCTGTCCGTGTATTTCCGCCGGGCTGTCGCAGCATTTGCGTGGCGAGTCTCTACAACCCTCCCACAGCAATTGGCCAATAATCCGCATTTATCAATATCGTTTGTCGCTTGTGCCCGAAGAGATTATCACGGGTGACCTGAATTTACATCGTGAACTCTGGGACAGTCATATATACCATCAACGACTGGAGGCGATAATTTCGCCGCTGTTCTAATCGATATGGATTTTGGGCTGGCGAATGACCCGGCGCAGGCAACACGGATCACACATCTTAATGCCTCTTCCCCTGACGTGGCTGCGTATTGCGCCCTACGCATCTCCCACTGGACATTCGCCCCTTACATGGACTCGGACCACTGCTGAATATCCTACTTGGTAGAGATGGACGATGTCACTCCACGACTAGCAAAAACGCCGCCTTGACGGAAGAAAGCCACCTTTGCCCTGCGCAAAGCGGATTGGCCTGCTTTTTCACATCTTTGTGTGAAACCCTTTTTGCCACCGCGTCCACATGGTTGGATTCTCGCGGAGGCATCTTACGAGCAGCTGAGCGCCATATCCCGCCTGGCAGCCGTGACAGCTCCAAAACGATGTGGACACACGAAATGGTGCAAGCCGAGGTCGCTGATGAAGCAGCACACAACGCACACATTGCCTCATCTGGAGACAGCCTGCTTTGAGCCGAATTCATCCAAAAAAGGGAGGAACGAAATCAAGCCTTACGCCGTTGCTCCGCTGTGCTTCTGGAAGCCCGCGCGAAAAGACTTGGAGCCTCACCCAGCCCGAGGTGGCGATATCTTCACGGCGTGGCGGCGCCGCACCCTCATCCTTTGGAATCGGTTGTGCTCCGCACTTATCTTGGCCGCGTATGCGCCCTGCCTCGGCAACAGGCAAACCTGCTCGTCCACCATTTTGTGCGGTTTCACGTGCCATACCGCCTTATACTGCCGCTGCTGCTCGCTGCACTCCTTTGGTTCCTGGTGGCTGGGAAATGGATCGGCCTTTCCTGCCGTATGAACTTGACGTGACCATCCGTGACTCTTTGCTTGGCTCAGCCCCTGGCCCCGACAACATGTTGAATGAATTCCTGCACCGTCTCGGGCCCGTCGCGCGGGGCACTCTTAGAACGATGATCCACAACTCCTTCGCAAATGGCAGCCTGCCTGAAGACTCCATGAGCGGAAGTGACGACGGGGACTCTTCTTCACCGTCTCAGGTGGATATTTCTTGGTTGCCATTGTCTTCCATGGTAAAAAAGAGTGATGGTGAGGACTCACTGGGGCCGTGATTGAAGCTGCTGCACATGACAGTAGAGGCAATTTTTGTGAAACGAAACAACACCAAAAAGCAACAACAATGTTTCCCCTTTTTTTTCTTTCTGTCTCTCTCTCCCTATATATATAGTGTGTGTCTGCGACTTAGCTTCCTTCATATGGTTGGCCTTATCATTACTGTTACGGATGTCCCTCACGCGTGATATTATTTATGTATTTGTATGCACATATTCTTTTCTATGTCTGTTACTAAATGCAGTAGAAATAAAGTATGGCACATGTCAATCAGGCTATCGGTATTAGGCGGATGGACGTCTGATAGCTCAATGCAGAAGTGCGAAATATGTGAGGTCAAATTTAATTTCGGGTGCAGGCGTCATCATTGTCGGTACTGTGGCGGTATTTTCTGTGCGTCATGCTCGAGCTTTTTTGTTAAATCACAAAAGCTTCATGTAAATAAACCACGACGGGTGTGACGCAAATGTTTTGAGTTTCTCTCAAAGGCACCGTAGGCTACAAATCCGTCCCGTGCTAGTGCTCATAGCCGCCATAAAGAGTTGAACGGTGTGAATGCCTGTAATTGCGAGTCCGATCGTTTGACTACTGAATCCGCCCAGGCAGCAACTGTTGTCTCTTGGACGCCACGAAGAGAAGAAGATCGAAATACCGCGGGTACATTTCCCGACGAGGAGAATGCTGACGATGCTGATTTGGATGATGACGACGACGATGTTTCCGCTGCTCTGGCAGGTGTATACTCCTCTATGGGTGATGGGCAACACACCGGTGGCCTCGCCTTTCTTGCTGCACCGCAGGACAACCTTCGATATTCGGAGGGCTCTGACGTAATTCATGTTCTTATTTATGTATCAGCTGCGAGGTGTCAGGTGATTTTTGTTACGGTGAGTGATGGGGAAACCGTGTTGATGCTCGCTAAGCGTTTGGTGGATGTGCACTTCAGGTTGGGCCGTGGATCTTTCAAGTCGATTAGAACGGCTGAGAGAGAGATTTTACTGCGAAAACTGAGGTTCTCAAGTGAATCCATTGTTGTAGAGAATGAGGCCAATGCGAGTGATGTGGCATCTCATTGTAAACACTTGTTTCTCTCGACTCTGTCTGCCTCCGAGCTGCAACATGCGCACGATGGGGATCCTATGGAGGGTTTTTTTTGTAGCGAACTCTGCAATGAAAATAAGGACGGTGTGATATGTTAGTTGTTGCCTTTTTATTTTTACTTTCGCGTGTTTGTGTTTTTGTTGTAAATTTCCGCGTGTGTTATTTATTTATTTATTTATTTTTTCCTTTCGTCTCCGGCACAATTTGCAGAAAAAATGGCCCTCATTTGGCTGCCGTCTTTTTTTTTGTTAAAAGAATTTATTTCGTTGAAAAACTGTGAGTTTCCCCTCGTCTGCGTTTTCGCACTCACGGGGAAACAAAAGGAGGAGGAAAAACTTATGAATTTTTGTCCTTCCAATTGAAGTGCCAGTCCGCCCTCCTGTGGAATACGTGGATGCTCCGCCTTGCAATCCGCAGTGCTCAAAACATCTCATATTTATTGATTTGCAGCGTTTTTAGTTGTTGTCTTTAGAAACTTTTTGGAACAAATGTGCGAGTTGTGGGGGCGAATTTTGATGGTGCTGCGCGGGAAGGTGGCGGCTGCAGTTTCTTTCTGTCGTCCCGCCCGCCTCCTTCATTGCGCCTCACGCGGTGCAGGGGAGTCCGGCGGCTAAAAGGGGCACTAAATTATGGCTGCAGCTCTGCTGCTTTACGACGAGTTTGGCTCTTGTCGATTTATTTGTCTGATGGCTTTTGTTGCGTGTGCATGCGTGCTGGATGATTTTTCTTTGGAGCGCGTTGATGCGGAGCGATGTGTGGCTGAATTGTCTTCTCCCATTTTGTTGTGTTTTCCTCCTCTTATATTTCTGAGGATAAGACGTCAACGACATCATCTAAGCACATGTTCATTTCTTTTTCTTTTTGCTTCTTTTTCTTCTTTTTACTTTTGAAGAAAATGGACGTTTCCGTTTTTCTGAAGGAGTTTAAGAGGGCGAGGAAGGAATCTGGCGGCAGCGTTCCTTTTGGTGGCGAGGGAGCGCGGGTGCCGCAGGTGTAGCAAACGCATTTTCACAAAACGCAACAAAAACAATTGGACGTATTTTATCTCCGGATGGCTCGGGGGAAAGTGAGCAGAGCATCAGCGATCGTGAAGCCGAAGATGCGCCGCCTTCATATCTCTGAGAAGCAAGAGGCAACGGTATGATGCATTTTGGCGGCGCACGCAAGAGGGAGGTTTGGGCCGTACACGCGGGTCTTTTACGGAGATAAAAACGTACCGGACGAATCGGCGTCCAAAGACGGACAGCAGCATCCCCAATGCGACGGTTCGGAGGGCAACTCACTCCATTCCTTTACGAGTAGCAGCCAAGAGGGGTGGCGCGTCAACCGTTAATAAACCACGTGATGAGCTCTTGCGGAAAAGGAACTCTCTCAGTCAATCATTGGTGGTGAGGGAGCATACAGGCGGTTGTTGTGCGGATGATTCTCGGGAGTGTGCATTGAGCACAGGCGCTGAGGAATTTCTTGTCTGTGTAGATGATCTTATTGCCCCTGAAAACACGACTATGGATCAGTCTCCTTTTTTGGGTTGAGGACCGTGTGGGACAACTGCAAGCCAAAAATGAGGGTGATGTGGCCACAGCCACACCGAAATATTCCACGGAAGAGCAGCAGTCTTCTTCTCTTCCTCCTCTTCCCCCTGTTGAGGTGGAAGTGCGCCATGAGAAACCGAGGACTGAAAGAGTGAGTTTGTTCGCTCGAGCAAAGATGTGCTCTGGTGCGACTGCCCCTGTGTGAATAGAGAGTCAGAGGTCTTAAATACGAGAAAGTTTTTGAAATAATTAGATTCTGACGAGGAGAAAAC